CGTCCCCTTACTCAGTCACTATAGGCTCCCCCACTCCAACTGCTACATCACAAAAGGGCAGGAAGAAGTCACAGGACACCCACCAAATGGAAGAGATGCTCAGGTGAGGTCTTAGGACCAGGGATCCAACCAAAGACCGCCCAGGAGCCAGTCAGGCTGTGACAAGTTCTAGGCACTCACCTCCCTAGAGGAAGAAACCATAGACCTCAAAAAAGAAGCCAGAGTTAAGGGCCCTGGGTGCCCACCCTCAGCCCTGTCCTCTAGATGGGATAGTGCTCTGACTTTTCCTTTTTCCTTCTTATAGGTAAATCATCCTCCCTTCTTAAATCCCATCCCTCTAATTCATTATTGGTGCTGAGTTTCCAGTCCTGGATATGATGCCAGTACTGGAAAATAAAAGCAACAACAAAAGCACACACACACACACACACACACACACACACACACACACACACACGACTGTGGGTGTATTTGTGGTGGAAGGAGTAGCAATTGTTAAATTGTCCAGGCTGGACTTGAGCATGGGACCCTCCTGCCTCAGTTTCCCAGAGTGTTTGGGATTACAGGTGTGTACTATCACACTTGTGTTATGTATATTTTCTGATCAAGATTTTTAATATTTATATACTTGTTTTTATCTGGACTTTGCTTTGGTACAGATGTGAGGTACTCCTAAATTTATTTTCCAGATGGCCTCCCCGTTTGTCCTAGCACCATTTACTGTATGCCCAAGTTTCCTGCACTCACAAAATGCCACCTGCAAGGTTCATGGACAGAGGGGCTGGGGATTTAGCTCAGTGGCATAAGCGCCTGCCTTGCAAGCAGGCAGTCGTGAGTTTGATCCCTGGTACCGATAAAAATGAAAAAGACAAAAAAAAAAAAAAAAAAAAGATTTATGGAAAGAATTTGTGGTTGTGAGCTGCAGGTGAGGAGACTGTGTATTTCTTCGTGAAACCTGTCTTCCATAGACCACAGGCAGGCTGAAAGCCACTCAGCTAAAAACCACTCAGACCTAAGTGTGCTGAGAGTTTACACCCTATAGACGCCCTTACAACATCTCCAAACTGCAGCTGGAGATGTGTGCACAGGATTCTCCATACAGTCAGTTCTTCTGCCCCCTACACACGCTCACCAGTGTCAGAGGGGTTCGGGTTGGTTGTTTTGCAAAATGACTTCCCCCACATGCCAGAAAGACCAGACCATAACAGAATACTTGCAAATCACTTAGCCTTAGCACTGTTGATAGCAAAACGTAGAGTTCAAGCATTCCATTGTGATGTCCACGTTCTAGTCTTTCTAAAGCTGTACTGGAGTCTGTATGAAGGTGTCTATGTCCAGTGTTGGCTGTGAAGCTGGGCCCCAGGGCAGATGATAAGAGTGGGCTTTAGGAGACAATGAAGTCCTGGGAACTGGTGACATCGTAAGACCCCTGAGCCATTTCCTGGGTATCTGTCTGCTGAGATGCGTATGGCATGGAGTAAGGATTCACCAAAGGTGGTAGATTCTTTTTCATTTTTTTCCAATGCTATGGTAGCTGACTGTTTTGTGCCAGTCCCAAAATAATTTTTAAGGAAAATAATTTTTAATAATTTTTAACCTTTTTGTTAATACAAATTTTTTCTTTGGAGGTAAGAAACTCTGAGGATTTAAACAAATGTGTCATTGGTTGTGTCCTACCAGATAAGGACAAATACACATTTTGCAACTGAAAACTGTTACACTTAATCTTAGCTACTACTTCTCTGAAAATGACCCTATTCCTCAGAAAATCTGCCTGCTGCTCTGGGTTACCAGCCTGCTCTTTCTGTTTCTTTTGTAAACTGATCGTCAATTTTCCTTTTTCTCTCAGGTCACTTCTAGCTCTTAGATGAGAAGTCCTGTCCTATCAGTAGAACATGGGCATCATTTCCGACTATGGGATAATCTCTGCTGGTGGCAGAGACTCTGCTGTCCCCTGGTGGCACTGGCAGTCTCAGCATGGTCAAGCACCTTTCAACCTCACACACCAAGTAGGTGGAGCCCAAGAGTGGCTCCTGGATCCTGGCCCCGGTAATCACCACTCTCATTGTGGTGGTCATACTTCCTCCTGGGCTCCAGCTGGGGTCGGAGCAAAGAAGCCTCCTTTCACACACAGCTAGAAAACCAGCTTCCTCTATGAGCAGAAGCATTTTGCCTCCTTAAAGAGTTCTATGAGTAGCTTGGGCCTGTAATCCTAGCCCTCGGGGAGGCTGAGGTAGGAGGATCAGAAGTTGGAGTCCAATAGGCAATTTAGCAAAACTTTGTCTTGGGGCTGGGGATGTAGTTCAGTGGCATAAGCACCTGCCTTGCAAGCGTGTGGTTGTGGGTTTGATCCCTGGTACTGATTAAAAGAAAAAAAATTTTTGTCTCTAAATTAAACGTTTTATTATTACCATTATTGTTATTGTTGGTACTGGGCACTGAACTCTGTTGGCCTTGTGCATGCTAGGCAGATGCTCTATCACTGAGCTACATCTCATTTTAAAAAGGCTGGGGAACCCAAGCACAGTGTCTCGTGTCTGTAATCCCAGCTCTTGGCAGGCTGAGGCAGGAGGATCATTGCAAATTCAAGACCAGCCTCGGCTACAAAATGAGCTCAAGGCTCACTTTGCACGGCGAGATCCTGTCTCAAAAAAAGACAAAAAACAAACAAAAAAGCTGGGGATACAGTTCAGTGATAGACCACTTCTGCGTTCAATAGCCCAAAACCAGAAGAAAGAAACCAAAAGGGGTCTCATGCTAAGCTCTTTTTGAAGGTCTCCTCTCTTACCAGAGCTGGACTGTGGGGATAGGGTCCTGAGCTTCCCAGCCCTGCATCCTTCCCAGGACCTCGACCAACAGCTGGGTGGTCCTTCAGGCTTTCCTGGCAACAGCTGAAGGGTCTCATCCTATGCCTGTGGGGATCCACTCTCTACCTTAGTTACAAGGGAGGGTATCAGAGCACAGGTGCCCTGCACAGGTAACACACACCCTGCACACACTGGGTTCTCCTGTTCCCAGCCAGCGCAAGTTAGGAACATAGAGTGCCTGCCAGGTTTCTCTTCACTAGAGACCCACTTTTGAGTGGTTCTTTTTTTTTTTTTTTTTTTTGTCTTTTTTGGTACCAGGGATCGAACTCACGACTGCCTGCTTGCAAGGCAGGCGTTTATGCCGCTGAGCTAAATCCGCAGCCCCTCGAGTGGTTCTTGAAAGGGACGGTTTCTTGGTTTGGTTCTAGGAATATGACAGTTTATATAAAGCTGTTACCTGACTGTGAAAAGTCTAGACACAGTGAGAGGAACATTTGGATTTGTCTTTTACGCCCAGAAAACTGTAGCAGGAAGAGCCCATTAGTTTTTTCTTCCAAGAATGCAGGGGCACCAGGAAAGCATCTTTGTAGTTTTAACTTATCTTCTTGAACTATGTGGGGGTTGACACAGGTAATGAACTACTAGCTGTCTGTTTACATTTTTTGTTGCTAAAACTTGTTGAGTGCCTACTATGCGTCAGACACTAAAACACCTTTACTTAATCGTCATTAAAACTCTCGGAGATGTATTTTTATGCCGACTTCCAGGTGAGGAACAAGAAGCATAGAGCGGCTGATTTGTCCTGGTCCAAACTTTTAAGTAAAGGTCTGTTGAATCTGAATTCCAGAAGTCTGACGGCAGAACAGAAACACCACATCACCTTCCTAGCTAGTACAAATATGAATCATGGTAAGAACAGGAGGCTCCAGCAGAAGACTGAGGTCCCTGCCCTCAGGGCTGCCCAGTGCGACTACATCCTTTAAGTTACAGCGGAAATTACTCCAGAAGGAGGTCACTCAGCGGCTTCTCACTGTGGACTGGTACACCCAGGGAGGAACCATAAGCACTGTTTGCTCATCTATGGTATAATAAAAAATTACAATAGTGTAATAAGCCTAACGTTTAAAAAAAGTCATCTGTTCGGCCAGTTTTATTTCATTCACAACCCATCCACTCACCTAAGTTTATTATAAACCAACCCAGATACCATGGCCTTTCATTCAGCGCTTTTGCAGTGCTTGGGCCTGAATCCAGGGCTTCCTGCATGTAAGGAAGCACTCTGCCACTGAGCCACGCCCAGCCTGTGGCGGTGACTTTATTTATGGAACTGGGAATCGAATTTAGGATTCTGTGCTTGCCAGGCAGGCGCTGTGCCACTGAGCTACACCCCTGGGCCTGTGGTGAGTTTAAAAGGAAAATTTGAGGGTAAGAAAAATATAGAGTTTAAAATGCAAACATATATACGTTATTTCTTTCCTGTCTTACACCCTGCTCTTTCCACACTACTGAAGGAGCAGCAGGTTCTGATTAATTAAATAACTGTCCTTCAGTCACACTATTGGTAGTTACAATTCGAATCCACTGTTTTTTTTTCTTTTAACATCAACTTTACTGCGTGTAAAATATTACAGTACATTTAAAATTTAGAGTAAAAACCTGCTGTCCTTACTAAACCCGTTTTATATAGTCTACGACCAGGCAGCAACAGGTCGGAAGCCCTCCTGTCTCCCGGACAGTGGCTTTGAAAGCAGCCCAGCCTCGGACTCCTTCCGAAGCGCCAGGTGGGCTGCGGGCACCCACAAGAAGCTCCTGGACTGGCGACGCGCTTGATGCCGCTGCATTCGCGTGGCCCGAGATCAATGCGACCACACAGCTAACACTCTGGTTTGTCCGTTAGGCTTCCCTAAGAGGCGAGGCTGAATCAGGGACATCTTAAGGAGCCCAGGCTGGGGACGCAGTTCAATAAGGACCTCGGGTCAACCCCCAGTTCCGCACCGCGACTCTCGGCAACGCCACAGCCGGCTGGCGGAGGAACTGCGCCCGGAACGGCGACAATTCCGAAACCCTTTCCATCACGACTGGACCAAAGGTGAGCAGCCATCCACCGGATCCCCACAACAGGAGAGCTCGGCGCACGCGCGGGGAGCCGGCGCCGGAAGTCGGTCCGCGGCCGGCGACTTCCGTCTCGCACCGGAAGTGCCTCTCGAGCGCCACCGCCAGCTTTGCAAGCAGAAAGGCGCTCTCGAATTTGAGCGGGCAGTCGTGCACGCGGTAGCGGGATTGTGCTTCCACGCACGTGTGCAAGGCGAGATGTCGCATCCGTCCCCACAAGCCAAGCCCTCCAACCCTAGCAACCCCCGGGTCTTCTTTGACGTGGATGTCGGCGGGGAGCGAGGTGAGCGGAGTCGACGCTCACGGGGGCCGCGGGGCCAGGTCTCGGGCTGGGGTCACGGGCAGGGGTCCTGGGCTCGGGGCCAGACGGGCGCTCGGCGGAGGTCGGCGGCCCACACGGACCCGGCGAGACCTGGGTGAGCGGCACCCAGCACCGCGGCAGTCGGCTGGGGAGAAGTTTCTAGAAATCCCAGCTTCGCGCGCGGGGCGTCCTTTGCTTGCGTCTGCCAGGGCGGGCGCGCCTTCCCGACACGTCGCGCCTGCTGGCGGAAGAGTTCGGGGGCTCCCGCCGTGTTCCTTGCGCGGGCCATGGCTGGGTTTGTGCTCTCTTCTCGCCCCTGATTCGCATTCGTGAGGGCCAACGAGCTCACTGATCAGTTTTGACTTCAGCAATGAACTCTGAGCCGCTGTGCAGTTGCCTAGAATACACAGCAGCCCCAGCTCTCTGCGCATTGGGCTGTGTGTGTGTGTGTGACTGACTTGAGCTCGTTCTCCATAGGTTAGATTTGCAGACCATGCAATGTGTTTAAATGCACGCACGAAACACACACATGCTTTCGGTTCGTTTTGGAGCTAATGCTAGTTTTATTTTCACCTGTCTTAAGAATTGGCTAGAACTTTGTCAGTTTTTGTCTCAGAAGCTGTTTTCACAAAACAGAAAGCCTAGAGATGTACATAAAATTTGGCCAACCTGACCATCCACAGGGTCTTTAATTTTCTCCTGTTGGCCACTTAGTGACTGCTGTACCGTCCTTGTGATGCTGTTCAGGATGAAAACCATTGGTGCTTCATGTTTTTACCTAGTGTTCAGTTGCAGGCCGCTGTAGTTGATTTTGATATTTAGGGTGATGTTTCAGATTTATCTAGACTTTTTTTTTTTTTTTTTTGTCTTCGTTTTTATCGGTACCGGGGACCGAACTCAAGACTGCCTGCTTGCAAGGCAGGTGCTTATGCCGCTGAGCTAAATCCCCAGCCTATCTAGACATATTACATGTAGACTAAAACTGACAGAAGATGACAATAACTTCCAGCAGTTCCACTGCTAGGTTCATATCCTAGGGAGACGCCATTTGTATGTGGAGGGGATCCTTGCACTCCCATGTTTCCTGCAGTGGCCAAGATAATGGAATCAACTCTTCAGCTCCCATAGATGCATGAATAAAGTGCAGTATATACATAGAATAGAATGTAAAAAGCAAATCCTGTTACTTGTGACAATGCAGATGAACTTGGGGACAGTATGTTAAATGAAACAATCCAGAGACAGGAAAACATGTATCGCATCATCTCACTAAGTGGAAACTAAATATGTTGAACTCAGAGTACAATGGTAGATACTGTACCAGGGGTGGAAGGGATGTTGGTGAAAAGACACATTTCAGTTACTTGAAGAGATAAGTTCAAGAAGTCTGTTGTGATTATAGTTGATAACAGTGTATTACATTCTTGAAATTGCCCAAAAAAAGATAAACATAATTTAGTCATTCACCAGTGGTCTCTTACCATAATTATACCAACTATCTTTTTGTCATTTGCTTGTTTGTTTTGTTTTGCATACTGACAAGGTTTCTTTTCTTTTAGTTGGTCGGATTGTTTTAGAGTTGTTTGCGGATATTGTACCCAAAACTGCAGAAAATTTTCGTGCACTATGTACAGGAGAAAAAGGCATTGGACCCACGACTGGGAAACCTCTTCATTTCAAAGGATGTCCTTTCCATCGAAGTATGTGTAAAATTTTTTGAATCTGATTGCCTTCACATTGACAATAAAGTCATATTCTTTAAGAGTTATGGAAGAAAATACAAGGTGAGGGTGAAGTTTCAGAAGTATTGTTGAGCTGGGCGTGGTGGTGCACATGTGTAGTCCAGCATTGTGAGAAGCTGAGGTGGAGGCAGATGGTTGTAAGTCTGAGCCCAGCCTGGTCAATTTATTGACGTAGTGAGTCCTTGTCTCTCTCTCTTTTTTTTTGTCTTTTTCTTTTTTATCAGTACCAGGGATGGAACTCATGACTGCCTGCTTGCAGAGCAGGCGCTTATGCCGCTGAGCTAAATCCCCAGCCCCCTAGTCCTTGTCTCAAAATGAGAAAAATAGCGCATGTGGCACAGGCTAAAGGCCCTGGGTTCAATCTTCAGTACCACCACCACCACTTAAAAAAAAAATTGGAGTACCATTAGATAACAGTGTAATTTCCTAAAGGCTGGTCTCTTTTTTTGGGGGGGGGTACCTGGGATTGAACTCATGATCTCGCACTTGCAAGGCAAGGGCTTGTGCCGCTGAGCTAAATGCCCAGCCCCAAGGCTGGTCTTTAAGAGCTGGAATGAATTAAGAGCTTGTATGATGAGCTGTGGAGAAACAGCATACTCTTCCTTCACTCCAGATAAGATGTGATTGGGAGAGGGAGAAGAAGGCCACAGCTGTGCTTAGCTAGTTTGTCTGAGAAAAAAGTTACATCTGTTCTTGGGCATGATTGCTTGAGAAGGATGCGGATCCAATGATTCAGCATGTTGGTCGTTCATTTAATGATTGCTTTGCGACATAGTCCTACCATTTTGTTTTTAGCATCTAAAGTACCATCTTAAGTACTCAGCAAATGTTTGTTTATGAAGAGACAGATTAAATGTCTATAAATGTCACAAATGAATACTTCTGTATGTGGTGCTGGAGATCAGACCCCGGGTGTCCCTGTGTGGCAGCTGCTGTACATCGAGGTCTGCCCTTGTCTGGTAACTTTTTAAAAAATTTGATGGATTGGGCTGGGAATTTAGCTTGGCGGCACAGTGCCTGCCTGGCAATCGAGAAGTTGTGAGTTCGATCCCTGGTACCAAAAAAAAAAAAAAAATTTGATGTAGTAAGGAAAATCACTGATACTTAAAAGTGACTATTGATTTACTTTTATGTTTGAGATAATATCAAAATATGCTAACAAAATGTTTGCAGAAAATAGCATAGCAGGCTTGAGACCACAGTCCTCTATAAAGGTGTCCTCCAAGGTGGCAGGAGTTTGGGAACTTGGTGCTTGTACCTTTCCTAGGTCACAAGAGTGACTTACAGCGTCTAGACTATTTGTCCAACCTTGTAATTTGTGCTGGACAGCTGCTTTCCTTTCCAGAGTCTGAAATTTTAGGACATGCTGACAGAAAATACTTGTGTGATAAGGGTTCAATAAATAACTATTCCCTAGGTGCCGGCTCTCTGGTGCCGGTTCTCTGATTGGCTTCCTGAGCATCATCTACATCACTGAATTTTCGTGAGAGAGAGAAAGCCCAGGGTGTCTGCACAGTGATTCCCCTGTGGACTGCCTGCCTGGTGTTTTCCCCCTTTCTGGCCACATATCCCTATTTTGCTTTTGTTTTTATCTTTTGGAGACAAAGACTCGCTATGCATTTCAGGCTAGCTTTGAGCTCACTTTGTGGTCCAGCCTGGGCTCAAACTTGCAACAATTCTCCCGCCTAAGCCTCCCAAGTGCTGGGATTATAGTTGTGCACCTCCATGCCTGGCTAGCATACCCTTATTATTGTAATAAACCAATTGCAGAGTCTGGAGTGCCAGGGAGTTCTGATTTTTGTAATGTTTAATATAAAGCAATAGCATTTGCTGAAATATTTCCATTAGAATTTTTAAAATCTGGGAACAGTTGATCTGTTCAGTGGACACTATTGAGTGTCTCTGTACTTTGTTATAAGGAATAAAAAATTTGTCCAGTCCATTGTTACATTGTGTTTGTTAGAAGAGGCAGGTCAGTTTATAAATGGAGGTAGTGTCAGGATCACTGCACGAGGAAAGCTAGGTGGTTCATTTTTCAATCTCAATGAGTTGTATCTGAAACACCATTTAAACTAATTCCTTGAGTGTGGCTGACAGACCAGGCAGTAACAGGTAGGTTATTAGTGGTGTATGCCTGTAATCACAGTACTTGGGAGGCTGAAGCAAGAGAATTGTTACAAGTTCAAGGCCAGCCTGAGCTCTACACAGTGAATTCAAGGCCAACCCAAACTGCATAGTGAAATCATGTCTCAAAAAGAAAAAAACAAACCTACAAAAAAGGAGGTTGGTCTTAGATAATGGAAAAGCTCTGGGAGTAAGAGCTGTGGGGGCAGTGGGAAGATAGCAGAGGGCCCTAGCTGAAGTCCTGCTTTGTGGAAGTTGACCTTACTGACACATTCATAGATAACATTGCCAAAAGAAAAAATTGCCAAAGCCACCCATGCCTTAGTCACTAATGGCCATTTTCTTTTTTTGCAGTTATTAAGAAATTTATGATTCAGGGTGGAGACTTCTCAAATCAGAATGGAACAGGTGGAGAAAGTATTTATGGTGAAAAATTTGAAGATGAAAATTTTCATTATAAGGTAAAGAAAATGCATGCTTTTGTTAATGTAAAGCTTACACACTTGAAATGTGTTTATGGGATAAGACACTATATCTCAAGTATGCTTAAATCCTTTCCTTAAAAGGAAGCAATATTTGGGAATATATTCATATATATATATTTTGTGTGTGTGTGTGTGTGTGTGTGTGTGTGTGTTTTGCTAGGGCTTGAGCCCCGGGCCTCATGCATGCCAGACCACTTCACCCTATATGTGCCTTCAGTGTAGGATGTTTTCATCTAGTAATGATTTTTATTTGACAGAAATACCATAGTTAATTCACTGCGCTCAAATTTTTACATGCTTCAGTTAAGCTAATGAATTTCCTTATAAGTATAGCTCTCCCATTTGGCAAAATTGATTCTAGAAGAAATCTTTTCATTATTGTAAAGGCAGCACCTTGTGCGTCTTTGTCATTGAGTTTGACGAACAACAAAACATAGCTGATACCCAGGGTGGCGGGATTTTCAGACTGGCGGATATGGTTAATGTCCTGGCTGCTAAGGAGTCGGTGGTTCCTGTGTCCCATTAGCATCATTTCCTAAGGTCTAAGCAGAGTGCATGGCATTCTTCAAGGTTTGGGAGTGGACACATAAGTACAGAGAGAAAGTGCTGTCTTCGAGATGAGGAATGGAGAGAGTAATCGACAGTAATCTGAAAAAATGTGATTGGGTTTTTTCCCCAATTTTTGGAGGGGGAGAAGGGTTGAATCTGAAATGTGAAATCTGTTGAGTGCTGGTCCTCAAAAGTTCCAGACTTTGCAGCCTATAAAACTAGAGTTTCAGATTAGGGCCACCCTTTCTGTGTATGCTGTGCTGTAGGAGGAAGATGTTTCTGTGGTCCACACCTGGGGACAGAGGCCAGGGGGACTGGGCTTTGCAAGGTAGCTATAACTGGTGAGGTAGGAACTTGTAGGAACTTAAGTACTGGCTGGGAATTGGAGAGGTGAAGTGGGTTAGGAGAGAGAGAGGTGATAGGAAGCTGAGAAAAGTTGATAGGCATTTGCTGTTTGGTGACAGCACCATGGAAGGCTGCTAGAAGAATGACAGCTAAGATTACGTGATGACCAGCCTGGCGGGCAGACAGGCTCTGGTAGTGCAGGACCTCAGTGGCCCTGACAGCCCAGTTTCACTTAGCCTGGAAGAGGAAGCCGCGTTTTAGGGGAGAAGGCAACGGTGTGCGCGTACACCAGCAGAAGAGCAAGCTGAGCCGGTGAGCAGCAAGCATAAGAGACGGGTTGGTGGAGCCTGTAGCCAGGGTGACGCCAAAGCAGATTCCGTATTTCAGCGCTGGTGTAGCTGTTTTTTCAGCACATGCTGAAAGAGCTGATTGGACTGGACGAAAGCCATAAGATTTGGCCCATTCGTGACTAGGGAAGGACCTCACTGCGTGACTTGTCTCCATTCACCATCCTGCTACTGTTAGTGGTTTATTGATGTGGAAAGGAAGAATCATCAAGGCCTATTTTTGAACATAGTAAGATTGAAAAGGTTTCCATCATTAAAAGGGCAAGGATTTCCTTAATGCAGTTGCTTCATCTGAAAGGGGAAGAACTGACATATAAGCATCTTTTCAAAATGGCCAGTTTAGAAATCAAACCCCTTGCTACTACTTTTCTGTCCTCTGACTTAATTTTTTCTTTTTTTGTCTTTTTCTTTTTTATCGATACTAGGGATGGAACTCACGACTGCCTGTTTGCAAGGCAGGCGCTTATGCCACAGAGCTAAATCCCCAGCCCCCTCTGACTTAATTTTTATGCCTGTCTTAAAGTTTAAGAAGTGATTAAGTACTCTACTTCGTTTATTAAAGGTTGTAATTTAGCTGGGAATGATGGTGCGCATCTGTAATCCCAGCATGCAGGAAGCTGAGGCAGGAAGATTGCTGCAAGTTTGAAGCCAGTCTGGGCTTCATAGTGAGTTCAAGACCAGCCTGGACTATGTAGCAAGATCCAGTGTCAAAAAAACAAAAGTTACAATTCATATAAAATCAAAGTAAATGGTAACTACAGATTTCATTTTTTTTTTTGGTCTTTTTCCTTTTTATCGGTACGGGGGATCGAACTCATGACTGCCTGCTTGCAAGGCAGGCGCTTATGCTGCTTAGCTAAATCCCCAGCCCCAACATATAGATTTCAAAGTATAGTAAAGAGTAAAGTTTGATCCAAATGGTAATGTAGGCCATCCTAGTTTATGTGAATGGTCAGTGAAAGAAAAGTTCGGAATGTACCTCCTACCTTGGTTTCAAAGGCTTATTATTTCTACAGCACGATCGCGAGGGTTTATTGAGCATGGCAAATGCTGGCCCCAATACCAATGGCTCTCAGTTCTTCATCACGACAGTTCCAACCCCTCATCTGGATGGCAAACATGTGGTATTTGGACAAGTGATTAAAGGGATAGGTGTGGCCAGGCTGCTGGAAAATGTGGAAGTGAATGGTGAAAAACCTGCCAAAGTAAGTAAAAGCAAATTTTCTTATTTTCTTAGTCACTGTCTTAAAGAGCTGCATGTTTGAAGGGTCGGATGGTTATTGGGGAAAGCTGGAGAATTTAGGGTGAAGTGTCTCTCCGAGCTCTCTTGCCACTTTTGGAAACCACCCTAAAGGGGGAGAGGTTTATCCACGGCTGCAGACTTTCAGTAGTCAGCTGGCAGGGGCGTGGGGAACAGTCCAGGTGGCGGGGCGTGGGGAACAGTCCAGGTGGCAGAGCCTGGGGAAGTTCGGGTGGAAGAGCACGGCACCTGCGCAGCCTGCAGAATCAGGGAAGCAGCCCTAGAGGGAGGAGCAGGCCTTTCAGCAGAGCTCAGCGCTGGGCTGATCCCCTCATGGCAGCGGATGCCCTAATCGTGGGGTCACTCCTGAAGCCTGGCAGCTGGCAGCAGATCTTCAGTAACTATATGGTTTTTTTTTCCATTTTTTTCAATACAGGGTCTTGTGGTGATCCATCTGCCGCAGGACCCTATGCTCCCGAACCCCCGTGCTGGGTTTATGGGTGTGCAGCACCACATATGGATGAAGTATGCCTTTAAGAAGACTAGTGTGGGGGCTGGGGATTTAGCTCAGCGGCATAAGCGCCTGCCTTGCAAGCAGGCCGTCGTGAGTTCGATCCCTGGTACCGATAAAAACGAAAAAGAAAAAAAAAAAAAAAAGAAGATTAGTGTGGTTTTAGGGCTGGGGATTTAGCTCAGCAGCTCAAGCACTTGGCCTGCTAAGTGCAAGGTTGTGAGTTCCATCCCTGGTACCCCCCACCACCAAAGATTAGATTAGCTGGTTTTAAAGATTTTATAGTAATGTGAACTTCAGTGTTCACGACGTTTGCTAGATTGCTTGCATTTTCCCACACCTAGGAGACTCAGTTGTGGAGCACTGTCTGCTGGAATCAGGACAGCCGAGCCTGTTTCCCATTCACACTTCAGTTTAACTGGAGCTTTGGTCCTGTCACTGACCTCCTCTGGGCCTCTTTCCTTCTATGTAAATTTCTACAGGGCTTAAGTGTGGTTATTCCCAAGGGTTCTTGGGTTCTAAGTGACTGTGAATCACAGTGACTAAAGCACCACCCACCCAATGTTGTGTGTCCGAATTGGAAACCCATCTTCATAGGGTGTAAACTGGGACTTTGTTTATGAAGGGAATAGTAGTAAATTAAAAGCTTGCACTTCATCTAAAGACAGTCAAATGTCTTTGAGCTCCTGAGTAGCAAGAGAGTATTTATGTAAATAGTGACGTCCCTACATTAGTCAGATGTGTACAGAGGGGTTATAGTTGTAGCAGATAGTTGAGCTCCAAACCTGAACATGACTTGGGTAGGACTGTACAAGAATTTCAGCTGGATAGCTTTTAAACTCAGTTTTTGAATCTCTTGTTAATACAGCAGCACCTTCTACAATTTTGTTTTGTTTTACAGTTGTGCGTTATTGCAGAATGTGGAGAACTGAAGGAAGGTGACGACTGGGGGATATTCCCGAAAGATGGCTCTGGCGACTGTCACCCAGATTTCCCTGAAGACTCAGATGTAGATTTCAAAGATGTGAGTACCAGCAGACCGGTCAGACCTGCAGGAAGAGACCGTCTGAGCTGAGAGCCTGTGCTCTGCTCTTGGCTGTCGGAAAGGGAGAATCCAGCATTGTCGGATTAGTCACCAACATCCAGTTTCCTTGTGTTCTTCTGTGCAGGTAGATAAAATTTTATTAATAACAGAAGACTTAAAAAACCTTGGAAATACTTTTTTCAAGTCTCAGAACTGGGAGATGGCCATTAAAAAGTACAGAAAGGTTTTAAGGTAATAAAGCATTTTTAAAAAATATTTTGTGTGTGGTGCTGGGGATTAAACCCAATGCCTCTTGTGTGCTAGGCAGAGTCTACCACTGAGCCACACCTCTGCCCCAGGGACGAAAGCCTTTGAAAATAAAATTACTTTTAAAGAACTTGTAAGTTGAATTATAGAATGAATTCAGAATTGCTCACTATTTTTTATAAGTTACCTAGAGAATAGATAGGTACGTTTCTTTTGCTGTCCTAGCTCATTGTGTTTTCAAAATACAGGGAAGTTTAAAGAATAGAACGTATCACTCAAATGTGTTTACTTACGTTCACCAGTATAAAACTTGCTATTCTTGTAAAACTTTTTGAAAGGAATTGTCCCATGTATTTCCAAAGTAAATACAAGGATATTCTATATAACCTCAGTACCATTAACACCCCACACAGGTACAGCCATATCTGATATGTGGTCTGTTTTCAAACTTCCCAGTTGTTTCAGTGTATTAAGTCCTGGTGAACACCAAGGATGTGTGCTGTGTTTGATTACATTGATCGCTGAAGAAGTGTTTTTCTAATTTACATTCTACGGTTATTAGCTAGCATTTGTCTGTCCATAAGAGTTCTTCATTTTGAGTTTTGAAGATAGTTGCTGCCAGCACCTGATCAGATTTGGGAATTGTGCTTTCCTTGGCCTTTTGCGCACTGCAGGGAAGTGACCTGGACTGAAGGGAAGAACCTTCTTTAGGAAGACGTGGTGCGGCTCCGTGGTAGAGTGGCTGCTCTGTGCGCTTGAGGCCCAGACTTCAACAGCAGGGAAGCACATAACGGGCTGTGGCCCCCAGTGTCGGGTAGCACTTGACCCGCTTTCTGTCTTAGAAGAGACGTGTGCTCCTGACTCTGCGGGCAGAGCGCAGGCTGGTCTGTGCACGGTGCCCCTTACTTACAGACAGTCTCTTCCCCAGGTATGTGGACAGCTCCAAGGCTATTCTTCCGGAAGCTGCCGCGCCCCGGCTGCAGCCTGTGGCCTTGAGCTGCGTGCTCAACATCGGTGCCTGTAAACTGAAGCTGTCGGACTGGCAGGGCGCCGTGGACAGCTGTCTGGAGGTGAGTCTTCTGGTGTCGGGCTTTGTGAACCTGTGGGATCTTGACTTGTTCATACACCTGGATATTCCTCACCATGCAGGCTGATCAGACTCGATAAAACATGTTTTCAGTCACCTCGTCCCCAACTATTTTGGACCTTCAATTCTTCTTGGTCCATTCATTGTGTTTTTAATGCTGTGTGGCTTGGTAACTGAGAGGAACATGTGTGCCAACATCAGCACACTGATCCGGTGGAGAGCACCGATGCACACCTGGCATCGGACACGAGCTGTGGCTGCGGGCTGTGGGCATTAGCCCCGGGGCCTACCCCCAGCCTTGGCGTGGTTTGGAATCTTGGGTAAATTCCTAGCATAGAGTCCTGATTTCCTCAGAAAAAGGCAATTATCTGTGTGGGGCGCAGTTACACAACATCCTGTAGTGTATTCGAGTTTAGCCCTGCACCCAGCCCATTGGCTGTGCTGACAGGAGACTGGTTCCTTTTAAGTCGAAAGGTTGGTGCTGTCATGCCCAGACCGGCCCAGGAGGGAGAGTTTCTGCCCAGGGCGTGGAGCTGTCTGGAGAGGGTGCCGCTGGAGCACATGGAAAGGAGGCTGTCCAGGGCTGCCAACTGGCTCCCAGACAGCATTGCTTCCTCAGACCAGTTACAAGTCCTCTTACTGTGTTGCTGGTTATAATTCCAGGGACAAGGCCATGGCTCAGTGGCACTGCCCCTGCCCGCTAACTGTGAAGTCCTGAGTTTGATTTCTGGTACTTCCCCAATCCAAACCAAGTGTTGCATGTGCTTTGTGTATTGTGTATATAGGTTAGCTGTGCTCAGAACAAGTAGAACTGACATGAGATTCTGGGCAGGGGCTGGAGTTCAAGCTCAAGGATAGAGTACTTGCCTCGTGTGCACAAGGCCCTGGGCTTGATCCCCAGCCCTGAAAGTAGAATAAAGGAGAAGAAAACATGGGGCTGGGTATTTAGCTCAGTGGCATAAGCACCTGCCTTACAAGCAGGCGGTCGTGAGTTCGATCCCTGGTACCAGAAAAAAAGAAAACACGCAGTCTTGCTGGGCAGGCCCATGGCCTCATGTTTACCAAGTGAGCCTCTGTCAGTGAGTTCAGCTCCAGCCCCAAGGTGTGTTTAGGAGAGGATGACAGCGTCAGAGGAGCTACCAAAAGGCAAGGTTAGCTTTGCTGTGGATCCTTTCCCTTTGCAATAGAAACCTTGAATATGGACTTTAAAGAGATGTTGCATAAGCCACGTACAGTGTTTTTAAAATGCTTGTTTGGGCTGGGGATATGTATAGCTCAGCAGTGATAGCGCCTCTTGACAAGTACAAGGTCTTTAGATCAATTCCTGGTACCAAGAAAGAAGAAAAAAGTTAAAATGTTTGTTTTGAGGAGAAAAAAGTTATTTCGGTCTGAAAGGATTAGAAGTATATATAATTCACTCTGCTCATAGCCATAGGCTCCATTTTCAGATCCATCCAGCCTTTAAGATGTCTTTTATAGAGCGCACGTCCCTCTTGTCCTTGTTCACTAAACAGTATGGCTGTAACTGAACAGTTACTGGCACAATATTGTGTTGTGTTAGGTTTTATGAGGAATCTGGAAATGATGCAGGGTGTACAAGATGGTGTGTGTAGGTTTCATGTAAATATTGTGCCATTTGATGTAAAGACCCGGACATCTCCAGTGTGGTGTGAGGGCGGCTAGGTTGCTCACAGAACCTACCCAGATACGAGGGGAGCATTTCATAAACCACTAGGTGAAGCCTAGGAGAAGAGTGCCCAGGAGCCCTGGCCCAAAGCACTTCTCTGCCCTCACACTGGCCATAGTAGGCAGGGCAGAGCCGCTGCTGGGCTCCAGCGCCTCGGTCATCAGCAGGGAGGCTTGGAGTTGACAGACAGAAGAGTGATTATCATCCTGTTTACATAAGTGTTAATACTAATTTCACAACTTTTGTAGGCTCTTGAGATGGACCCATCAAATACCAAAGCACTGTATCGCAAAGCTCAAGGATGGCAAGGACTGAAAGAATATGATCAAGCATTGGTAAATTTTGTTCTGAATGTTTTAAAATGAGGATTTTTACAAACCATGTCTTAATTTTCTTAAAAAAATTTCTCCCCCTAATTCAAGGCTGATCTTAAGAAAGCTCAAGAGATAGCACCAGAAGATAAAGGTAAGTTAGCAGTTTCTATATAAATGTTTATTATACCATATAAACATTTACCCTCATACACTACTGTATAGTTAACTTTGCCCTATATTTATTTGCCTAGCAGATACTGTAGCATGTGTTACTGGCCAGAGGCCTGGAGCATAAAGCAGAGAACAGAATAGGCAGGGCGCAGGGCGCACACCGATCCCTCTCCGCAGCAGGGTAGTTTGCACTCACTGGAGTGTCGTGGTCTGCCATGTCATTTGGGACTCGGTTTCTATCACAGTAGAATTAGCTGAAAGTTCAGCACTAAGAGATGAAGTATTGATTACAGACTTAACTTCTGGACTGTTCCTGTCAGAAGTCACTTCCCATTGCTGAGACGCACTACCCAATACCCACAGCTCACTTTAGTTAGGCTCATGGCTCATGGGGGTGCAGTCTGTGGTCAGCAGCCTCCATGGCGGAAACACATGTTGAAAGGGTGCAGAGATCACAGCAGGGAAGAGATCTGGAGCACACCCAGTGAGCGACCTTGCAGGTACCTGAGGCCACAACACCAGGAGTATGCTCTAGTAACAAACTAATCTTAATGCAGTGCATTGGAATGCCCGGATCAGCAATCACAAATCCATATACTGAACATAGCTGTAACCTCTAGTATTCTAGCAATGGACATGTTAGAGAAGCTGTGATAAACCAGCTGTTTAAAATATAAGCCAAATAGGAAGTGAAATACCTTTGGAAATCCCAGCTGTGCAGAAAGCTGAAGCAAAATCTCAAATCTGAGGCCAGCCTGAGCAACTGAGACCCTGCTGAAAGTGCAGAACACTGGGTGTGTACCCCTGTGGTAGGGCACTGGTCTAGCGTACGTAAGGCCCTGGGTGTGAGCCCTAGTAGCACTAGGAGGAAAGTAAATTTTGTTCTGAGCCCATCAGGTGGAGAGAGAAATAGCAAATCTTTTGTGATTGAGTTCTGCAGTCTTCTTAAATTACACCCCAAGGATTTTGTGGTTGTTTAGAATTTCCTGTCAGTGGGGTCTCAGTTTGCAAAGCGGATTTGTCAAGGTGGAAGAGGGCGCGAGCTGTCTAACGCTACTTGCAGAAAGAACTCATTGCACTTTTCCCCCTGCAGCTATCCAGGCAGAACTGCTGAAAGTCAAACAGAAGATTAAGGCACAGAAGGATAAAGAGAAAGCAGTCTATGCAAAAATGTTCGCCTAATGTTCGTATTCACTTCTGCCCTTGGGTTGTGCATAGCTTGTTCGAGGGAGTAAGACAGGCAGTTAGGCCTCTATGTTTCCTTTGACACTTCAGTTCCTAATGGTTTACAGTTTAGAAATACTGAGATTCCCTCTGAATAAAAGTGTTACAAAACGCTAGTGAAGTTACCTTTTATCATTGTTTTCTGCACTGTTACCTTGGAGAATGATATCCAGGCTGATTTTAAATTCCTAAGCCGTAACTTGTTGAATTAACAGATGTCAGTTTGAGTTTGTGTATTTATAGTTTCTCCTAATCCCTGACATATGTGTGGTAGTTTGTGCTGGTGTTTTCTGTGTGTGGGAATTAGGTATAAAGCACCTGTTTAGGGGCAGGCACACTTGCCACAGGAGGCCAGATCATAACCTGTTCAGGGTCTAAGTTCTGTGGGTGTAACACAAGTGTAATGACTTAGTCATAGACAATGTGTAAGCAATCCATGTGGCTGTGTTTCAATAAAACTTTTATTTGTAACAAGCAGTGAGCTGCATGCCAACTCCTGGTCTGCGGGAGCTTTATTTTTATGCTTGATTTAAACTTGGCAAGTTGGAGGTAAAGGCCAGTAGTGCATTTTGCTTTGGTGATTGTTTGAAGAACTGAAAAGGTAGATAAGATGCTTCATACAGCTTTATTTAAGAGAAATAATTTGTAATTTTCACAGGATAATGTTAGATATTATATAAAATATTTTCCTGGGGCTAGGGATTTAGCTCAGTTGGCATAAGCACCTGCCTTGCAAGTGGTCATGAGTCCAACCCCGGTGGTCATGAGTCATGAGTTCAATCCCCGGTACCAATAAAAGTAAAATATTTTACTGATACTTCATGAAGACATAATATTTTTTTGGTTTGGTTTTTTTGAGACAGGGTCTTGCTATGTAATTCAGGCTGGCCTTGAACTCACTGTGATCTGCCTGCCTCAGCCTTTTAAGTGCTGGGATTACAGGTGTGCACCACCACACCTGGCTGACAATGTAAAAGTAGTTTGCCACACATCTGCACTTGAAGAATCTATTCTGAACTGTGTATTCCACGAAACCAGCCACACTTTACATTCCGTTGTAGGCGGGTCCTCCTCCACCCTCAGGCACCACCCAGTTAATGTTCTGACTTGGATCCTTGATGTCACAGGTTTTACAGTGCACGCAGTTCTGGGCATTTATCTGTAGCCGAAATCCATCACCTTGTTCCAAGGGTACAAACTCATAAACTCCTATAAAGTAAACAATAAAATACTTAACTTTAAATTTTAAAAATTCATTAGTGGGAATTAACTTCCTAGAAGATTGACTACACAAATTATTTTGTTTTGTTTTTTGAGATAGGGTCCTGCTACATAGCTCAGGCTGTCCTTGAACTCGGGTGATCCTCCTGCCTCAGCCTTCCGAGCATTGATGTTTACTCAGAGCATGATGTTTACTCAGTGTGGGGCCACTGCTGCTGGTGTCAGAGTCTGGGGTGTAGTGGCACTGGCCGAGCTGCTCCCACCTAGGTCAGCTTGTAGTGCCAATATCTACAGTGGGTCTGTGCTGTTGCTAAGGCGGCAGACTAGATGCGCGCCTGACCCTCCACACACTTTGGTGTCGGGTCGTTGCCCTTGGAGTGCTTGCTCCATGCTGGGCTCTCACCGTGCACTGAGTTCTGCGAGTCAGAACAGTGTTGGGCCATGTCTGAGCCTGGTCCCAGTGACCAAGCTCAGCTGAAAGCTCAGCACTGGCAGACCCAGTCTTACGCTGCACACTGAAGTTCAGGGCCACTCCCTGAACTTGACATGGCTGTAACCTTTCCCTTCCCAACATGGACACAAATGACTCTACAGAGCCTTGGGACATTGGCCCCATGTCATGCCACCCTGTATTGGTCTGAGAATGCAGTGCAGGGCTGGAGCAGCACCACCTGCACGCACTTGGGGACCCTGGGTGCAAGTTACTAAAGGAGGCTGAGCCATCTGAACAGTACATACCCAGGGCAACAGTTTCTAGAACACTGGGGGCAGCTGTCTGTGAAGACCCGACTGAGGGGAGCTCTCACCCGCCGGGCAGAAGCGCTGCTCGGGCCCGTCGTACACGGACAGATTCCTGCGGACGGGCACGCTGTCATCCTGCAGCGTCAGGTGCGCCGGCTGGTCATGCTCATGGTTGGTGCCGCTCAGGGCCACTGACGACAGGAGGTCAAAACTGATCTTGCCATCGGGCTTGGGATACTCGATGGGCGTGCAGTCCTTGGCTGGTCTGAGCTGGTCGGAGTCAGAACCTTCAACAGTTTGGGGGAGACATTTAATAGCACTTCTGCTAGGGGTTGAACCAGGCCTCACACTTGCCAAACACACCCAGCCACCGATCCTCACCCCTCAAGTGCTTCCATAAACTGACTCTTTCACAGCACTGAGAAACAGACGCCTCTGAGAGACACCGAGTGACTAAGGTGTCTAGGCAAGCTGAGAACATTCCAGGACACGGCCACCTTCCACTGGTGTTTGCACTCACAAGTGTGTGAGAACTGGAACCTGAGTGTTCTCAAGTGTCCGCTTACCCTTATGTTTTAGAGTCCATGGCTCTGTTCCTCTCAGGATCCAGTAGAATATTCCCGTGTAAATCATCCCTCCATATACACCCAGGATTCCATGGCAGGATGGCCTTATATTTCTAACAGAATATAGCTCTTTCCACACCCAAGACTTCTTTAGGTTCTCCTCATACTCTGTTACATGGAGTCCTTTTATTAAAAAGAAAAAAGAAGTGTGAGGTTGTGCAAGGTGCCAAAAAATGTTAGGGTATTGTCCTGTTGAGATAACTGAAGAGTGAGTCTTAGTATAATTTCTAACAGGTGGTCATGTAAGAAGACCATGCTCAAGAATAGAGTGTGGAGACCTCACAAAAAGATAATGATCTGAAAGATAAAGAGGTGGTTATTTTTGTTGTTGTTTTTTTAAAGACAGGGTTTTACTAGGTGTTGCAGGCTGGCCTTGAACTCAGCAGCAACCCTCTGGCCTCAGTTCCCACATGCTGGGATTGCAGCGTGCACCACCATGCCCGGTCCATAGTTTGTGGATGATTACTTCTCTTTTTGCAGTGCTGAAGATAGAACCCAGGACCCTTTCCATGCTAAGCTGGAGCTCTACAACTAGGCTAGTCCCTAGGCTAGCTCTGAACACTGGTTACTTGAAAAATCAGTTTCAGAATTTTGTAAAACTGAAAAGGAAACTTAAGGTTCATGCTTTCTATAAAAGTGACAGTTTTTATAATTCATCACTGAAACTGCTTCTACCTTTTAGGCGTTGATATGTGTCCCTGCAAAAGTCTAAACTTGTGACCCCACAGGGTCAAGATGCAGATGGCATTAAGATCTGCTGGAAGAGTGGGTTCCTGGCCCATTAGACACAGGGCGCACAGGTGAAGATGGAGGCAGAGACCAGTTAATAAGGACGGGTGGCGGGGAGGGAGTGGGGAGGCAGGCTGCCTAAAACCTGGTGCCCACACTAAAGAGCCAGGTTGCGTGGTGGCACAGGCCTGTCATCCCAGCACTCGGAGGCTGAGGCAGGAGGATCGCCACAAGTTCAGGGGCAGCCTGGCCTGTATAGAAAAACCCTATCTCGTAATGAACCCTCCCCTCTCCCACGCACACAAAAAAACCCACCTGATTCTCTTCACGGCCTTTCCCTCCTCCACACCCCTCACAGACTGTTCCTTTCTCCTCTCCAACACGTGGGCCCCAGTGCTATGCACACACCACCACTCACGCACGGCCAAGGGTCCAGCAAGGACTACACCTGATGGGAAAACCTGGGAAAGTCCGACCCACACAGGGCCACCCTACTGACCACTTCCCCAGTGCCTCTGCTCACGGTGGCCACAGTCCTGCACGGTTAATCCAGGTAGATGCCTATGCCCTTTGTGGCGGTGGGGATCAAACTGTTGGCCCTGCACATGCCCAGCTGTTACTCTGCAGTGGGTTTTGCCTCCAGCACCAGGTCACCCAGCCACCTGGACCTGAGTTTCGAAACCTGGGGAGCTGCCAGGTGCTCTGCACTTGAGATGAACAAAGCTTGGCCCTTTCCTCCTCGTGACTGGGAATGACAAGACACTCACGCTGGGAGGGTGTGGACAGTGAGGATGTGTGGGTGACACCATGCAGGGTCACAAGGAGGCATGGGGTGCAGCTTCCGGCCGGCTGGGGAAGAGGAAGAGGGCAGCCTAGGGCCGGGACTTCACAGAGGCGCAAGCACAAGGGCCAGATGGCTCCTTCCACCCTGGCATGGAGGCTGAGCTGGCAGATCCGAACCCAGCTCTCCGGGGAGGGGGCGCCTGTCTACTTCCCGGGCTTTGGAGGCAGTACTAGGGAATGGAGACCAGGCCCTTCACACTGAGCTGTATCCCCGGCTCCCCCACCCACCTTTTAAGAAAATTCAAGTGACTTGCCAAGCCACTAAGTTGTGCAGGTGGGCCACAAACATATGACCCTCCTGCCTCAGCTTCCAGAGTGTGCAGACTACAGCGTGTGCCCCGCTGCCCAGCTACTGGTCCACTTCTGATGACAGGAAAACAACTCGTTTTCAAACCTCACAACTCCTAATGTAAGTCTGTGTGTGTGTTTGTGTACAGCACACATCTCAGCATTTTGTGTAAAGGGACAGATGCAAACAACTTTGTGTCAGCTGAAGCGTGTCTAACCTGCCCATTCTATTTCCTTACCTGCTGTCTGTGACTGGAGATTTTCATTAGTCAGTTGATTAAATATTGATTCTGCCGCCAAACTCCCACTTTTCATCGCCGTGTGGGTCCCTTTGATCTTGGGAACATTCATAAAACCAGGGCTGCAGCCAATGAGTAAGCCGCCGGGAAAGGTGAGCTTTGGAATGGACTGAGGATAGCAGAGGTTTGGACAACACCTATGAGCTCAAGTTCAGCAAAACGATACTCCCAAGTCAAGTCTCTGCAAGCCGTGTGGAAATGCTGCCAGGCAAAGGTGTCCATGACAGGAAGGCAAGACCCACGGTTTTCCTGTCCCTCCCTAAGAGCAAAGACCACCATTGCTACTGACTTCCTGGTAGTTTCTCCTTTTGCTGCTCCATGAACAGATCTACACAGGGTGTATTTAAGATTGCAGCATTAACATATTTTAAATAAAATGATTTTTAAGGGATTTTTTAGTCTCTTTGCAACAGTTTCACTATGCAGTTCAGGCTGGCCTCTAGGTCACAGCAATCCTCTTGCCCCAGCCCCCCAAGTGCAGGGATTACAGGTGTGCGCCACCATGCCCAGCGAATTCATTTATTTTTGGTGGTGCTGGGGATTGAACCTGGGGCCTCTGACAGCCTTTATGTATTTTCTATTTTGGGACAGCATCTGGCTAAGCTGTGCCCAGTGCTTGGACTTCCAAGCCAATCTCGAGGGTCAGTGTGGTATAAAACGTTTCAGTTTATGCCTATCTGTGTCATAGTAGGAAATATTTAAACCTGAGTAACTGAAATCTAAATTGATTTTTTTACTGTATGTAGTGCAAGAAAGGACTCTACACACCTATTGATTTTAGTTTGGTATCTAAGGAAGGAACCTGTGATCTAACCATGGTATTACTGTAACTAGGTAACAGTACACTTCAGAAAAACAGTACAGTAAAGGGTGGTGACTTTTTGGGCTGTCTCCCTGCAGCCCCAGGGTGCTCGAGTGTGGGGAGAAGCACGTGCCCCTGGAGCTCTGGTTTCATCCCACACAGTTCCCGCTCAGGGCTCCTGCAGGAAGCCAAAGGTGGCTACTGACTGGAGGTGGGGAGGGGGAGCGGGGTCTGATCCATGCATACCTGCAGTGACTGGAAGGAGAAGAGGGCAGGGCCCAGTCCCCAGTGCAGTCCCCAAGGATGACTGCGGTCCTCAGGCCACGCTCATTGTGTTAGAAGAGGGCTCCATCAAGAGCCTGGAGCAGGTGGCCAGGAGACTGAGATGCTGCCCGCTGACCACAGTAGTGGCAACGCTAAGGCTATCACTCACTGACACTAAGTCCGACTCAAGAACCAGAAGAGCATGAAGCTTAACGAAACAATACAGATCATTACTGACTTAGGAGGAAGCCTGAAGCCTACAAACAGAAATTTCTAAAACAGTCCTAGATTCCTGGAGCATGAGGCAGAGGAGTCATTTTTATTTTACAGAGACTGCTGAAGGGCAGAGGGAAAGGAACTTCCCCAACTCATTTGGCCTAACTTTTAGGCCGGCTTTTGGATCACCTGCCCTGCCTGTAACTATTTTCTGACTGTACATTTGAGATTTATTCTGAACATATACTAACATGTGACAGGGTAGAAAGAGGCCACCAGAAGAAACGGACAGTACTACTTGTTGGCATTAGCTGACTCATGTTGAAAACTAAATTTGCTTTTGAGTTTCTGAGCAGTTACGGAGCAAGGGGAAGTATTATGAATCTCCTAGTTGTTATTCTCTGGTTAAAATAACCAAAAAAGCGCTCACAAATTTATCTCGAGATCAGCCAGTCCTAAGACTACCTAATTTAATGGTGTCATGTAGCTCCGGTGTATACAGTTTTATAAATTCTAACCAGGTTCTGGGTGTGGGTAGCTTCCTGTCCTCACCACATGGGTCATGTCACTCCTCCAGTTATGAGCTCCCTGCCCAAACGTGCGCCCGAGACCGAGTCACCTGCAGGCCGCCCTCATTGAGCGCCCGGGCCCCGTAGGCGATCCTCTTGCCACCCTCCAGGGTGGGTGCGATGCTGGGGTGGTGCTTCCACCTCTGGAACTCCCGGAAGGGACTCAGGTAGGGGTTCTGATAGTCCAGGCCGACCTTGGAGGGTTACATTGAAAATGGACGTATTATACAACTAGACATTCTAATTTCCACGTGAACCAAGCTAAAATGTGAGTACCAGGGAATGTGTCCATTACATTTCCTCTAAAGCACCTGCTGAAATATACAGCAAGCCAAATTCAAACAAACTACATAACATCTGTGTATGAAAGAAAAGGTAAACAAAAGGACAGTATGTATTTATAATCAACAAAAGTTAAAAAATTGAGAATTTTTTGGTTTTTTTGAGCCAGGGTCTTGCTCTGTAATTCAAGTTGGCTTTGAACTCACTATGCAGCCCAGGCTGGCCTGCAATTCATAGTAATTGGCAATCCTCTTGTTCAGCCTCCTGAGTACTGGGATTCAAGGCATCCGTTAACATGCCTGGCTCAAAAAATTTAGAACGTATTACCATACGCTGTGAAAATCAAAATGCAGATTAGAAAAGCCTATGTAGGAGTTGGTGCGGTAGAACATCTCTATAATCCCAGCAAAGAGGCTGAGACAGGAGGATTCCATGGGATCAAAGCCAGCCTGGGCTACACAGTGAGTTAAAAGCCAGTCAGGATTATACAGGAAGGCTTTATCTCAAAAAATATGTATGTGTCTCAGATTATATTTTTACAAAAGGAGATATTAGACATTTAATACTAACTACAGAAATAAACTAAAAATCTATACTATACTACTACTATGGCAAAAATGAAAGTGAATATGAATCATATTTACCAAGAGAGAGGACACGAACCCAAAGGGAACATCGTACAAGACAGCACCAAAGCATAGTAAGAACCACAGGTGTTTCCTAGTTTTTCACAAACACTCTGAGGGCTGTGCCCTGAAGGCTGACAGGGAAACTGTCCCGGCTGACCATGCCACCAGACCCAAGCTGCGGCTACCCTCGAGGTGCTACAGATGTCCCCAGGTGGTTGCCTGCTGTCAGAGACCGTGGGGATCTCTGGGCTTGCTCCTGGCTGCCACCCTCACTCGAGGATGCACTTTTGTGGACAGATGTGCGTGGCTGTGGGGAGCTGGGCAGTGCCCACCACAGCAACTGTCATGCCATGGACAACATGGCATGATAAAGCTGACTCTCCATGAACCACTGTCCATACTCTCGGGGCCCCAGGTCCTCACATCTCAGCCCTGGTGACCCTATATCCCCAGCTGAATGTTCTAGAATGGGTTTTCGACTCACCACAAAGCCCAGGGCCACGAGGGGTTCGCCCTCATTCAGGTGGTAGAGGAAGGAGCCTCCATACGTGTGTCTGTCCAGCGGCCAGCCCACCGTGTGGTCCACGCGTCCCGGCTGCCACTTCTTCTCATCAATGAGCCACAGCTGCAAAACCACATGCTCAGCATTAGTGACAGGTGGAGACTGACAGGAAAGATAGATGTCACCTTTGGGGAGCGTAAACCGCAGTGTAAGGATACGAAGGAAAAGTTAGGGGCCTGTGGGACACCAGCGTCTGAGTCCAGTGAAGGTGTATGTACGTGCGTGCGTGCGTGCATGCGTGTGTGTGTGACAGGACACATGCCTGCCGGGGAGGGCCGACCCTCACAGGGAACACAGACAGGCAGAGTCAGCTGTGCACCCAGGGTCTGTCCCGTTACAGTGCGAGTTTCTTCAGTAAACTAGCTTACTCCCGCTTGTCTCCACCCTTGTGCAATAAGTAAAAGCATAGTTTATTTTCTCACTGGTGCGTTTCAAATTTTTAAAATTTTCGTATGAAATGTTATCTAAAAATCAGAGAATATGTACCATCTACCAAAACAAACCTGTATTCATATTATAGTGAATTTAATTGTCCATGGCATTTGCACTTGAGATTTAACTTAAAAAGGTTCTTTTTTTTCCATCCTGGGGACTGAACCAAGAGCCTCTGCACTGAGCCACAGCCCCATGCGCTGTTTTAGAATTTCTGAGGCAAGGTCTCCATAAACTGCCAAATGGCACAGCTGAGCTTGGATCTGCACTCCCCCTCCTCAGCCTCACAGAGCGCTGGAGTTACAGGAGTGTGCCACTGTGCCTGGCAGAGTATTTTACACACAATGTACTTTTTGGTGATGGAGATTGAACCCAAAGTCTAACACAGGCCAGGCAAGTGCCCTACCACTGAGCCATATCCTTGGTCCTTAAAAATAAAGGGTTAGAATGAAAATTTACCACTGTCATAAGCTTAAGATTTAGGAAAATAGGTTGACAAATAGATAATATACAAAGACGAATAATATACAAAATTCAACCCAATCAGATTTTGAATTACTGCAAAATATACTATACTGAAAAAAATCAAATGTAGGGGCTGGGGATTTAGCTCAGTGGCATAAGCGCCTGCCTTGCAAGCAGGCAGTCGTGAGTTCGATCCCTGGTACCGATAAAAAGGGAAAAGACAAAAAAAAAAAAAAAAAAAAAAATCAAATGTACTATGCTGAGAATTTCATAATTCTCATATTATAATTTTTAATAATTTTAATATTTTTAACATCTTCATATTACAATTTTATTTATTTATTTACGAGGTTTAAATTTTTTTGGTCTTTTTTTTTTTCTAGACAAGGTCTTACTATGTAGTTCAGGATGGCTTCCAACTCAGCAATCCAGCCTCAGCCTCCCCACTGCTAGGGTTACAGGTATGCCCCATCCCACCAGCCATATTTCAATTGTAAGTAAGCATTTCTGTATGATATGACTACCCACAGATAGCGCGGAGATAATAGGTACATTACCACTAGGCAGACAGCCTTGCTCTGTAAAAAGAAACTTGAGTTTAGATTATTTTCAAGTTCAAGACCCAGTGTAAACAACACTAGATAAAACAATTCTGAAATGAAGAGCTAACCTAATAATTTGATCAATAGTATTTCCTACCCTCTTGAAAAATATATCAAATAGTTTTTAGCAATAATGACCATTTTAAGTCAATGAAAAATGTTACTAAAATTAAATCAAGATTATAAACTACAGGACAATAAAAATTATTATGCTCTATCTTTTGAAATAAAAGTTGTGCATAACCAGGTACCTCCTTCAGCCCAATCCCGTAGGTCTGGGGTTGGCAGTCCACCCGCAAATCAAACTTCCTGTAGAGCTGCTTGGCCAGGTGTCCGTGGCAACCCTCCGCAAAGACCGTGACCTTGGCGTGCAGCTCCAGCCCCCTCTCGAATGTAGCCTAAGGAACAAAAACCACGGTGAGTGGCGCTGCCTGCTGACCTGGAGTACAGTCACACTCGGATCAGTTTCCTGTGAACCACGACTCAGGTAGAGGCACAGCCAGCAGGGGCCCCAGGATAAGACGAGGCACAGGGTGCACGTGGGAGCTAACAGGGATGTAAAGTGAGCCATCACTGGCAAATGAAGCACGCTCGGACAGAAACACTGTTCTGCAGTGAGCCCATCTCCCAGCTGCCTGGGAGTCGCTAGTCTCCATGTGAAACCCAAAGCACCATCTAGTGACTTGGCCAGAATATCTCTACAGATCAAAAAGACCCCGGCTGTTTACACCCTTTGGACACAAACAGAGTCACAGCAAACAGGCTCCTCAGCCTCGTGTTTTCCTTTTTTTTTTTTTTTTTTTGTCTTTTTCCTTTTTATTAGTACCAGGGATTGAACTCACGACTGCCTGCTTACAAGGCAGGCGCTTATGCCGCTGAGCTAAATCCCCATCCCCGCATTTTCCTATTCTTGTCAGGACACCCTTGCAATGCACCTTCGTCACAGCTGCCGCTCCAGGGCACATGGCGGGCGTACCGTGGTCACCTAGTCCCTCTCGCAGTTGCTGGGTCCTGGGAGCATGGCAGGTGGGCATACTGTGCTCACCTGAGCTCTGACCCCCTTCCTGATCTCTTGGATATCACCACAAGTCTGCCTTTTTCTTTTCCATCATCTCTGCTACTTTCTTAAGTTTTAGGTTTTCTGTATCAGAGAAACCATGTGACATTATCTTTGTGTCCTATTTCACTTAATGGTAAGCTTTTTTTGCTTTCGTTTTTTATTTTTCCCACGTTTAACCCACAATATTGTCAAACTGAAGTGTTCTTCCCTACCACAGAAGAGACGGCCAGCACCTTGCGCCCTTTCCCTTGTAGTATGTTTTACACTTACATCTGGCACACAGTATGCTCGGTAAAGGTACTGAAGCCGGGGTGGTGGCCTGTGTCTGTAATCCCAGCACTCTGGGAGGCTGAAGCAGGACAATCCAAATTCACTGCTAGCCTAAGCAACTGAGACCCTGCTTAAAATGAAAACTGTGAAGAAGGACTGAGGGGGAAGCTTAGCGTGAAGGCCCTGGGTTTAACCCCAGCCTGGAAAATAAAATCACTGAGTAAAAGAACGTAGAACAATCCGAAATGTCTCTTACAAAAGATAATAGCCCTGAGGCTTTCCAGTCATCTTACCATGTATGCACGCGGAGATCTGCAGTCATACAACTTGAGCTCACACTGACAGAGTGTTTATAACTTTTCCGATTATAAAGTCATCTGTCTGAAGCAATGTACACCAAACAAAGCCTGAATAGGTTCTCATCATTTTTCAACCAAATTTCAACAGCTGAACCATCAGGCCGGATTTTTTTTTTTTTTTTCCGGGACCAGGAACCGAGCTTGGGGCCTTGCACTTGCCAGGTGCTTATGCTGCTGAGTCGTATCCCTGGCCCTGTCTCCTGTTTTTACACTGCTTGGGTCTGATACCCTCATTGCTAAATATTTTCTGTGTGAATGTCAGAATGATTTCATTAGTAACAACGCCCTTGGCTACCGTTTGGATGTCTTTCATGTGTCTTATCAACGATTTGCTGATCCTGTGTAGCGTGCACTCAGGCTGCACACCGCACATGCGGGTACAGGAGGGCTGGATAAAGGAAGACAGAACTGACACTGCCCACCTCCGGGGCTGCCCCGAGAGCCAGGGCACTGGTGGGCAGTGAGGCAGGCACAGCTCAGCCGCCACCGCCACCAGAATTCTTCAGTCCTCGCTTCAGACGCAAAGGATCCTTTGAAAAATGCAGGTTTGGGAGTTCAAGCGCTAAGATTGCCCGTGTTCTCGCTGTCAGGGCTGCTTGTCTCCAGAGATGGGCAGTCCTACGCTGGGATCAGGGACCTCCTGTCTCAGCCTCCTGAGTAGCTGGGCTCACAGTGTCACCACAGTGCCCAGCATTTTCTATGTTTTTGTATCTCTAGAAACTCAGTACTTTTACAAATAAAAGGACAGGGCCAGGGATGTAGCTCAGTGGTGTAACGCCTGTCTGGCAAGCCTGAGGTCGTGAGTTTGATCCCCAGTACCAAGCCCCTGCCACAAAAAAACTCAAAAAACAAAACAAAAACCACAAAGGACAGAACACACACAAAAATTCAGAACAAATGAAGGCACACAAAAAAGTTTCAAAATAGAAGAGCATGTGAAATTTGTTGTGACAGTGAATAAATTTATTATTTATAAATTGTAACACTAATAAATCCTGTAACTAATTAATAATTAAATTGTCACACTACAGAAATCACCTCTGTGGAGGACAAACTCTATTCTCTGACCATCACAACTGCAGGTGACACCTAAGTACCTTGCAGGGAGGCACCGCCGGCCCACCACGCTGGCTGAGCAGAGCCCGTGCACTGGTTTCCGAGCAGGTGGGGAGAGAGGCAGAGAGAGGCAGGAGCAGCTGGACCCTGCGTTCTGTCCAGCACTGGTGAGGAGAGCGCCCTCGGCCCTTCCTGAGGCCCTGGCCCGGCCCTGCAAACCCTCCAGGGGCTCTTCTCAGATAATAAACAAATAAACAGGTAATTCATTAAGGCGCACTTCACATTTTGCTTTTATTACTGAAAAGCAAAGTAACCTTCCTTTGTCTTTTCAAGGAACATCATAGGTTCCTTGTACGTTCTCTTGACTTTTTTCAAAGACCCACAAGTACAAACTGTGAAACCCTGAGAACTATTCAGGCTGACACTGGGAATCAGATAAAGGCAAGGAGTTTTGTATCAACCCAAAGACCTGTTAAGATCAGGTCAGAGTCTATTGGTATTTGCCTACGAATAAGAAAATGATTCTTGTCCACAGGAATGAAAATTACGGAGGCCACAATGGAGTTCATTAATGACAGTACACATCCACAGCAAATCTGACTTGAGCTGGATGCAATGGCTTCTTGACAGTCTCACGGAGTGAAATACAAATTCTGACTGTTCACCTGACTGTGTGGTACTGGGGTAGAACCTGGGTCCTTCACATTGAGCGGTATCCCCAGCCCCTTACAAGTTTGAGACAAGGTTTGCTAAGTCTTCCTGGCAGAATTCGAACTTGTGATTCTCCTGCCTCAGCTTCCTATAATGCTGGGATTACAGGAGTCCATGGCCACACCTGTCTAAACAATTAATCTTAAACGTTGTCCAAATCAGACACAGCTCAAAATTGCTTCCTTTTTTTTGCTCTTATTGAGACAGGGTCTCCCTGTGCTGTGCAGTTCAGGCTGGTCTTGAGCTCACTGTTTAGCCCAGGGTGGTCTCAAACTTGCAACAATCCTCTTCCCTCTGATTCTCCAGTGCTAGGATTACAGGCGTGTGCTACCATGCCTGGCTTTAATATTTTTTTGATAATGAGACAAAAATTCTCTAATTTATTCTAAAATCTGCGTAATTAATATACAGTTTGTAGCAAGACCTAAAGGAGTCTCAGTGAGTTTTCTTTTTTGTCAGTTTATTAAATATACAAATATTAAAAGATAATTACCTTCGGGGCACCATCTTTCTGTATTCCTACGTCATTAGTGGCAATTCCTTTTACACTACCATCTTCATGGTACAGGACCTGAAAAGGATAAAAACAAACGTATTTCTATCACCTCCACTCATGCCAACCTTGTGTCAGAAGACACGAACAGTCTTCTGAGGCAGGGACGCTTCTCCAGACAGTGAAGTACAGCTTTGCCGTGTTCCAGCTGAAGGAGACACACTCTTCGCGCGGCCCCTTTGGGAGTACAAGACAGCTGGAACTGCTGGACAGGAAAGCAGCGCCACCTCCGGACGAGGCCTGCAGGGGGGACACAAGTGGACACTGCACACTAGGAGGCTCTCCAGGGGCAGATCCTGTCTGGCCCTCTGAAATGCAGCTGGTAACAAACCAAGAGCACCCATGGGAAGGAAAGGAACTGCAGAGAGAGCCTGTGGTGATTCCAGTTTACTTGTGGAACAAGGGAAGGGAAAGGTGTGTCAAGAGGAGCACGGGCAATGTTCTTCCCATTTCTGCTTCAGCTCGGGAGCAGGTGCTCTGGGTAGAAAGCACACCCAGGGACCCAGGGACGCAGGCTGGCAGCCGGGCACGAAAGGGTGGGGCCAGGTTAACAGCAGCGGGCACAAGGAGCAAGCTCCGCGGCCGCTGGCTTGTCTGCTCAGCACCTGGCAAAGACCTGGCGAACGCTCAGTACCAGCCTGGCAACAATCACCACAGAGCCAAGGGTGAGCAAGGTACGAGACCATAGTGCGTATATATGTATACAAAGAGCAAATCGTGGTCCTCATGTCACCTACCTGGCCTGCCACTCATCCCAGTCAGGCAGATTTGCTGAGAAGAAAGACAAAATCCCACACAGGGCTGCAGCACCCCAAACACACATGTGTGGCTGGGAAGACAAATTCAGAGCAGCACACACCACACAGGGACCTTTCCTGTGTCTTCACTTACACGTAACCTCAGGGTAAAAACATCTAAATTTTCTGGTGCCAAAGGCAAATGATCACTGTCCCCCACCTCCATCTCCTCCAGCCAGGTGCACGCTCTGAACCCTTTCTCAATCTTCCTGGAACAGTGGGGGACATTGTCAAAAAGCTCACTGAACCTCAAGTTGGCTCTGCAGCCCAGCAGTGTCTTTGGGGGCTTCGGAGCCCTGCTGAGCCAGGACCACCAGCGAGGGCTGTCCTGGCTTCCTATTGTGGTGGGCTTTGGGGCTGGCTGCCTGGCTCCAAGCTGTAACTCCCAATAAAAAACAAGCAAGCAAGCAAAGGAAGAAAAAGCAACTATTCTTTTTCCTTTAGGTGAAGACAATTGACAGTATGTAATGGACTCTATCTGCCTGGCTACTTAAAGGCGAGATTTCTTTTCTGGCTTGTGACATTTCTTTGTTGGCTTAATGCTTACTCAATAATAAACTTGTTTATTCTGTTTTATAACTTGTGGAGTGGATTTTTCTGAGTTGGTAGATTTTATTTAATAATTTTTCCAAAAAACACAATGACAGGGGTGATACGGCTGCTGAAATGTTACTACTTTAAAAGAATTGTAAGAACTTTGGAAGAAGTTTCTAGAATCAGGAAGGTGCTAGCCCTGCTCTACACTAGGCTTGAAGTAATCTATTCATTTTGGGTATCACTTTATAAAGAGGCAAAAAGGAAAGCGTTTGAAAGAGTGTAACGAGAATACTGAAAGAGCTCAAATTACCTAATACGATGGCTGAAAGGAATGAGAACACTTAGCCTGGGAAGGAAAAGTCCAGAGAAGAAGCAAAGGAGGGCAAGAGCAGGGTTACTGTCACCAGGAGGGTGCTGAGCGGAACCACTGCCTGGTTCTGTGCAGTATAAAGCAGCAGCTAATTTCCATTCACTAGGAGGAGGTGGTTACCACAGTCCTCCTGACAGACCCTCAGATGAGGGGAGGTCTTCATCCTTGAGGCCTTCACTCATAAGCTGGAAAGTCACTTATCAGGTGCAAGATGAGAAATTCCGCGCTCTTTGCATTAGACCATTCAGGTTCCTTCTAAGCTTGTGATTCTAGAGCACAGGACTTTTCTGCAGTGTTTTACTTCGGTAAAACTCTTGCTTTAATTTCAAACGTGAAAGGGTAATGCACAACTTGCCACAATGTGAAGTGAATGCCACAAACCTCGGCGGCGGCGTAGCCAGGGTAGACCTCCACGCCGAGGGCCTCGGCCTGCACACCCATCCAGCTCACCAGGTGTCCCAGGCGCACAATGTAGTTGCCATGATTGTTCATCGGGAGACCTACGAGCACAGGTTGAATCTGCAAACCTGACTTTGTTGCTACAGTATCTCAATTAAAATTCTCAACCAACGTGTATTCTACAGAAATGTACATACTATCTTGATAATTTCAGCCTTTACTTTATAAATCTGGCTTAGAGTTCTAACTTACTAATACAAATCTGCTGTACACAATGATTACGTTCAGCAGGGGAGTCGGTACATGCATTTAATGTGTGAATTCATTTTACTTCCCTCTCCCCTTCTCCCCTCCCCATCTCTTGGTCCCTTTCCCACTTGCTAAAGAGCTATCTCTTTCTTTCCTATTATCTTTTATTTTGCTCTTTAAATTATGTATACTTCGTGTTTTTCTTACAGGAAAAAAACCATGTGATATGTAAGGTTGTGTGCATGACCTGTTTTTCTTAACATTATGATTTTAATCACACCTAGAAGGGAACTAGCTGGGTCAAATGGAATCTCTAGTTTTAGCTTTGTGAGGAATCTTCCTACTGATTTCCATAGTGGTTGTGCTGGTTCACATTCCCAGCTACACCAGAGGGGTTCTCTTTGGTCTACAGCCTCTCCTCATTTGTCATTATTTGATTTCTTGATGACATCCATTTTTCCTAGAGTAAGATGGAATTTCAGTGTTGTTTTGGTTTGCATTTCTCTAATGGCCAGAGATGGTAAATATTCTTTCATGTATTTATTGGCCATTTGCACCTCTTCTTTTGAGAATTGTCTATTCTTTTCTTTTTTCCTTTGATTTTTTTTTTTTTTTTTTCAGTACCAGGAATCAAACTTAGGACCTCACAACACTTACTAGGCAGGTGCTGTACCGCTGAGTTATGTCCCTGGCTGTCTGTTCTTTTCAAGTGGCCATTTTTCAAATGAGTCTTATTTTGGGGAGTCTGCTGGGTTATGTATACATTGCAGGCATTCATTCTGTCTGAGTAGCTGGCATACTTTTCTCATGTTGTAGACTGTTTCTTCACTCTAGTGCTTATTTCCTTTGCGGTACACTAATTTATTAAATTAAAAATTCCTGCCTGGCTTATGAGGCTATGCTAGGACCTGAGTTCCACTTCTACTTTCCCATCAGTTAGATGAACAACTGAATAAATCCCTTCCATCTGTGGGCCTCTGTTTTCTCATTTGTACAAAGGGGATTTCTTCATTTGAAATGGGGCACCCCCAGCTGTAGAATTCCCTGCTCTGTGAATATTCATCATACTCTACCTGGAAGAATTGGCACAGGAATTCTGTATTTCTCTGTCAAAATTCCAAATCTGTCTTCTGTTACAGGGGTGTTAAGTGGAGCCTAGAACAGAAACAAAAAAAAAGCTTTTAGTTCACATTTGTAATTATAATTTTCTTTTTTTTTTTTTTTTTTTTGTATCATGGATTGAACCCAGGACCTTACACTTGCCAAGCAGGTACTTGTGCTGCTGAGCTAAAACCCCTAGCCCTGTAAATATAAATTTTAAAAAATTTAAATTTTCTCTGGAGACAAAAAAAGAGTGAAACCCCAACCCTAGTTTCTTTGGGTTTTTCCTTTGCCAATTTTGTAACTGTAAATCCTTTTCCTGTCTCTTTGAGGTGGATGAGAATCTTTTAAAAGCTAGAAGTTAAAGCCCCTTGCGGGTTCAGTTTCAGAAGCCTCTTTTTAGGCAGCCTTGGGACATCTTTGACACATAAACACCATGTGTCCCCATCTCTGTGGAAGTTTGGCATTAAGTGCTTGGCCTCAAGAAGAAACTTTCTGCTTGCTGAGAAAAAACTGAGAAATCTTCTTTTTCCCTTTGGCTACAGACAGTTACCATGTAGGTAATGGACGTTCCCCCTCCCCCTTGTTTTCCAGTTCTGAGGACAGAACCCTGAGCCCTGCATGTGCTGGTCAAGGGTTCTACTGCAGAGCTGCATACACTTTTTATTTCTTGAGACAAAGTCTTGCTAAGGTTCCCAGGCTGGATTTAAACTTGTGATCCTGCTGCTTCAGCTCCCAAGTGGCTGGCGTACAGGTGTGTACCACCTTGACCGGCAGGTACTCGAGTATGTGTATCTATCCCCTCCACTTCTTGGTTCCCTTTTTATTTGCAAAGATCTATCTCCCAGTTTTTTTGTTCCTGGTACCAGGAATGGAACATGACCTCACACTTACCAGGAAGGCACTGAATCACTGAGCTATATCCTTGGCCCTACCTCCCTGTGTCTTATCATCAATCTTTTAAAGAGCACAGTATTTTGGGAAGGAGATCATAGATGAAAGTTTTAGAGTTCAATTTGCTCCATATGTAAGAATACAGATTATTTTAAACTTTTACATACTTTGGCCTTATATCAATGGCATTCAGACACTGAATATATTTACTCTGCAAACAAGATGGATATAATATAACTTATCCTACTGAAAAAAAAACTGAGAATACAAGGGTTTAAACAAGTTCACATAAATTTTATCTCAAAGCATTGAACCTAGCACTTGGCCCTCTGAAGGCTGCATGGTGGCTTTTCTGCTGAGGTCATGGGAAGTCACAGTAAATGATTTCTTTCGAAACCACATCACCCACTTTGGCTTTAGGTACTGCATTGTCCTACAAAATTCTATCTAGCACTTTTTTAAAAACAATGATACAGACACCCACACAACTATTCATAAATGCAGCACATAAATACAACACAGAATGTACCATGTAAAAGTACAAGTTAACATCTTAAATCACAATTTTGATGAGCCATTTTCTTAAGTTATAAAATATACAAATACACACACACACACACACACACACACACACACACACACACACACACTATTACCGCTAAGAGACAGATCTACATGGAGAGGGTTTCTTCCACTCCAGTAATCTGGGAAGAGAGTTAGAGCAAAGATCTCAGTTTGTGTAAGGAGCATACCCCCTTCTCCTTCCAGTCTGGAAAGAGCTCCTGGAAAGCCCCGGGGTCCAGGCAGGCTCCCGAGAGTGTGTGTGCTCCGATCTGAGCGGCTTTCTCCACCAGACACACTCGGATGTCCTTGCCGTGCTCCGCAGCCAACTGTTTCAGCCGTACGGCGGCAGAGAGCCCCGCAGGGCCCGCGCCCACGATCACCACATCCGCCTCTTCTGCAAACCTCTCCATGCTCACTCCTGGGTAGGAAAAGTGTCACAAATAAATAAAAAGTTCCATGATACATGATACATCTTGCGGTAACTAACAAATTATCTACTACATTTCCTCATGCTTTCCATAATTGTGCTAGGTGTATTATTAGTAATTATGCTAGGTGTATTGTTACTCTGACCTAGTCATAGGTTCTGTTTCAGTGCACGTCCTACTTTAGTTTCCTCAAGCCAACTTTCGGGTTTGAGATTCACTGTTACAAATTTTGCAAATATCTACTTATCTAAATAGTAATAATATGCAATATAATTGTTAAAACCATAAATATTAGAGATGCTTTTAAAATATCATAAAGAATAAACTTGACCCCTCCACAAAACGATACAAAGTATTCAGAAAAGTCTCAGTGATTTGCATACAATCACTCGCCTTCCCATCGCAGGTCCTTATCCCGGGGGTACACGGTGTAGTGGGTCGTAATTCGAGGTACGGTGGATGTTGAAGACCGCCTTGAAGCACACAGAAGTGGAATATTTTTCTTCATTTTTAAGATTTGAAGGCACTGATATACTGAAAAACATGTTACAAACGTTATTGTCATTTTAAACATTAGTTTTTCTCAGAGTAAACCAAAAAAGCTAGTAATCTGAATCAGTACTCCCAATCTTGGGGGACGCCCCACACCAATGAGGGATATACAGTAAACGAAGTGGGCTACATTCTTCCTTAGAGTTCCTTTGCCATAAAGTTTACTCAATCTTAACTACTTTAAAACCACCACATAAACAAGAAATCAAAACAGATCCAAAACAAAATACACAGAGGGATGTGGTGTGTGACAAAGATACCACTGCAAATAAGGGACACCGGATGACTACTCGTTAAGTGGTGCTTAAATAGCCAGATCCCCATTTGGAAAAAATGTACCTTAGTCCTTGTTTCAGAACGCATTTCCCGTGAACACAGCCTGGCAGAGACAGCCCCAGCACACATGAACATAATGACATATTCAGACACTCACCTCCCTCTGAACAAGGGCCAACTTCCAAGTTCCTCAACAAGCAGAGCACTAAAAGGGGACTGCTAACTTCATGGCAGAGACTATGGCAGATGGCGCCACGCCCCCCCCTCCCCCCAGTGAGGGCATCCACACACCACCAAGAGACACACGGAGTGCACACACGCAGTCCACTGTGCAAGGTGCGGCACCTCTGGGGCCTATGCCCTCCACCTGATGATGGCACACCACACGCTCAGATCCAGAGACCTTCTACAAAAGGCCTGGAGGAGAATATCACAAGTGTCCAGATCAGGAAAGACAGGACAGCAAAGCCTGGGAGTGCCGCATGCAGCAGACCACAGAGATGAGGCAGCTGAGTAAGCCGGTGCCCTGGGCCAGATCCCAGGAAAGAAAGACTGAGAATCAGGCCCGCAGGTCAACTAATGGTGTTTCCACCACAGACTAAGAAAATGGCACAAAGAATCAATGAATTGAAGAGTTGGTTCTTTGAAAGATTACATAAAATTGACAAACCAAGCTGGGCATGGTGGCTCACGCCTGTAATCCCAGTACTCGGGAAGCTGAGGTGGAAGGATCGTCGTGAGTTAAAGACCAGCCTGGGCTACAAAGTGAGCTCAAGGCACACCTGAACTGCATAGCAAGACCCTGTCTCAAAAAAGACAAAAGAAAAAAAAATTGACAAACTCTTGGCCAACCTTATCAAAAAAAGGAAAAAAAAAACTTGAATCCACACAATTAGGAATGAAAAGGGCAAAATCACAACAGACTGCAGAAATCCAGAAAATCATCTATACCTATTTTTAAAACTTATATTCTGGCATCACACCAATGACTGACTGCATGAGGCTTTGGGAAGACCTCTGGTCATAATTTCAACAAGAGTCCACTTGTTAAATTTCAGCTCATTTTGACTTCCGGGAGAACATGGCGGACAGAAAGCAGCAGCTACGGAGGCTCTCTGAGATACCCCGCTTAGAATCCAGGAATGGTGCAGTACGAGGAGTCCTAAGCAAGGGGAGATACACCCTGCCAACACAGGAATGAACTAAGCTTAAGAGAAACCAACTGGAAATGCAATCCAGGTACTATAACAGGAACAGATAAAATCTCAGCATGGAAGCTGGAACCTGCACCACTGGAAGCCGTGATTTGAATTTCCTGCTGCCGCTGCTGCATCCCAATCATCACAGCAGGGAGAGAGATGCGCGACAGCTCTGAGAGTGGGAATCGGCGAGTGGAGTTGAGAGGGGGACTGAAAGGAAGCCCTGCATCGACCTGCGGTGAGTTAGTGGAACGGGGACCCTTCCATAGAGTAGGAGGCTCTAGTAAACGATATACTGGGACTGGGCAGACTTGCCGGAACAGGACACTGCAGTGACTTTAGTCGCATATTCCCCTCTCAAGCGGGATTGGTGGGGAGTGCCTACCCTGGGTGATGCCGCTGACTAAGACCCACTAGGCTACCCCAAATCAGGTACCAGTGCCTGGAGGTGCACCCTAGTGGTGAAGCCTTCAATAGGTTGACCTGGAGGGGTGGGCCCAGCAGAGGCTGCCCAGGTCTGTGTCTCCCTAGTACACTGCAGTGGGCGGAAACACCTAGCCGGCGGAAACACCTAGCCAGCGCAATTCAAACAAACCGTAACAGACAAAGAGAAAAAAAGTGGGCCTTCTATATTCAGTGCATGGAAGGAACAAAAAGTATGGGAAGAGGAAGCAACAAGATGAGAATATTGACCCAGGAAAGGGAAATGCAAAGGAGGACAGAAAACATGCAGTATCAGACACGGCACCAATAGACATAAAGCGTTATCTCCAGAGCCTCATAGACAAGTTTAAAAGTGAGGTATTTAACGAAATAAAGCAAAATATAAGTAGAATAGTTAGAGAAATGCTAAGCACCACCCAAGAAAAAAACAGATGATGGAATGGAAGAACAGAAAAAAGGGGAGAATTGTTTGATGGAGAAAATAAAGAAAACATAGAATATGTGAAGCAGGTTCAAAGAGATTACCAAGAAACTAAAAACTCTATCGAAAGCTGGCATGACAGCTTGAAAGAAACTAAGGATGGATTATCTGAACTGGAGGGCAGATTTGTAATTTGGGATCATGAAATGAAAAACTTCTTAAAAATAACAAGAAAACAAACAGCAATAATACAAAGGCTAGAAGATAAGAGGATCTATAACTTAAGAATTAAGAACATAAAAGAAGAAGTAGGGACACAAACAAATGGGCTACAAAAGCTATTCACAGAAATAAGCCAAGAGAATTTCCCTAATTTAGCACAAGGTGAAGATAACTCAGATATGAGGGCTGGGGATTTAGCTCAGCGGCATAAGCGCCTGCCTTGCAAGCAGGCAGTCGTGAGTTCGATCCCTGGTACCGATAAAAACAAAAAGACCAAAAAACAAAACAAAACAAAAGAAAAAAAGATACTCAGATGTATGAGGCATACAGGACCCCAGCCACCTACACCCAAACAGAGCTACACGTAGGCATATAATAATCAAAATTCCAGAAATCCAATATAAGAACAGAATATTAAAAGCTGTCAGAGACAAGAAACAGATCACTTACAAGGGAACACCCATCAGAATTACAGCAGCCTGCTCGGCACAAACCATCAAATCATGAAGAGCATGGGGGGAAATAATTCAAGCTTTGAAAGATAATAACCTCCAGCCAAGATTGATATATCCTGCACAACTGTCCCTGGAAATTGATAGAAAAACAAAGTGCTTCCAGGATAAAGAGGAATTACGGGAATTTGCAACCACCAATGCAACTCTACAGAGAATACTGCAGGACATTCTAAAAAAGGAAAAGAACAAGATTCCAGAAACAGTAGCAGAAAGGCCACAGTGAATGGAGCAGAAAGAGAAATGAAGAAGACAAACTAACAACAAACGACAGAAAAAGAGCTCAACAGAAATGAGGCAGAGAAGATTGGATGGTAGGAACAGCTATTTTGGAGAACAGAAGACATCATAATAGCTAGTGCTGATTTAGTATCATCTTGTTTTGAAGTCTCATCAAGCTTTTAATATTGTCTCCATCGGTCTTAACATGTTGTACCTTATTGGATTTTATTATATGTGATAATATAAGCAAAAACTTTTATAGACAAGGAGATTACACGGAAACCATTCTGTTCATTGCTCATTGGCTCTAAATATTCTGTAATAATGTCATTCTCTTAAATGGTTTTACAATGTCTGGATATGTTTGGTGCTACAGTATATGAAGTTATACTCAAAGATTTCAAGGAAAGAGACACTATTTTAACTACTTTTATGTGAGGATATCTTGTGGTGAAACACTATTTTGCTTAAATGGTTATGTTTTGACCTACGCTGTTTTGTTGTTATGCCCTCTTTTATCTCAATCTCCTTTTTTTAATTATTTACTTTTTTATTTAGGGAAAAATAAAAAATAGCAGGATACATTATAGTAACCTTCTTTGATTTCCTATTGACTTGATTTGAAATCCTGTATTGCCCTCACCATCTTGTTTTGACTGATTTTCCCCTATTCTGTGTAGCTTGATAGTACCAAGTTCGAAAGTATAGGCAACAACTGTGAAGACAGTAAGATTCATTATGACACCCATTCTGGTTGACTATTATCTTCTTTTAAAGTCCTATAATGTCTCCAATGTTTTGCTTTTATTCTTTACTGTTTTGTTCAATTTTATTATAACTGATGATATAGGCAATTCTTTTTTTTTTTTTTTTTTTTTTGTCTTTTTCATTTTTATCGGTACCAGGGATTGAACTCACAACCGCCTGCTTGCAAGGCAGGTGCTTATGCCGCTGAGCTAAATCCCCAGCCCCTAGGCAATTCTTTAAGATAGCAAGAGGCAACATGGTAACCATTGTTGATCACCTTGTATTTTGTTTTTACATTATCTATTATGTCCATCCTTTTGACCTGACTGACTCTGCTCTGATATGTCGCATTTGGTTTTACTCTCCTCAAAAGAAGTAATAAGAACTGTGGGAGTAATAAAACCCAAAATGTGTAATTGTCATTGTACAAAAGAAAAGAAAGTAGTCTAAAGGTTATAACTGCATATATGTTTAAGTGTATAAGATAGACAACCATATTACTGAGTTTTTTTGGATCATTGAACAAAACTGTTTGCATTCGCACTGTTTGAAAGTCCACTTTATATGCTTTAATTTTGTAACTTGAACAACTATTTCTAAGATGAGAATATGTAATCTATTAACTAGTGATTTCTTACTGTTTATTTTTTAAATTTTGTATTACTTGTACCCTTTTTCTGTTTTTTTTTTCTTTTTCTCCTTAAATAAAATTTTTAAAAAAACTAGTTAATCAAAAAAAATAAATCAGGGCTGGGGATTTAGCTCAGCGGCATAAGCACCTGCCTGCAAGCAGGCAGTTGTGAGTTCAATCCCTGGTACCAATAAAAAGTTAAAAAAAGAAAAAAAAATAAATATCAATAAATAAAATCAAAGATGTAATTAAAAACCTATCAACAGGGGGCTGGGGATTTAGCTCAGCGGCATAAGTGCCTGCCTTGC